TGTATTTTATAGCAGTTACGCATACAATTAACACATTGGATCTAAAACACGATAAGTTTCAAATAAGCTAAATCGTATTCAAACCCAAGGGTAAAATTTGCAGAGTCTGATAAATATTTTCTATTCTTTATTTCTAGAGCGTGACAGGACTTTAAAAAGCAGTATTTTAAGGGAATTCTCTTTTGAATCTTACAGTTCCATTACGAGGCCACCTCAAACTCGCTGTTAAATAAGATTGTCACTGAAGTTCTTATTTCTTTTCTTGTTCTGCAAGAAAAGCTTCTTACTACTACAAGGGATTTACCGAATTTTGATAGTTTTAGTTCAATTGTACGTCGATTTTGGTATTCTGAGTGTTTAGTAGAGTAAGAGGCAAGGAGAATAAAGACTGACTTAGAATTTGAAAGTATATGAGCTTTCTGGAGTGAATTTTGTACAAAATATTCAAATGTTCTTCTAAAACCCAGAACTTCTGAAGTAAATATTGAGCATAAGTTAAGGATATGATGGCATTCTGTATATTTATTATGCAAACACACATAAAAATTCAAACCCGGTGATTTCCTTCTATTAGATCCATCTCGTTCTTCGTGTAAATTTCAATCTCGCTTTCGTCTTATTCTTTCAATTTGGCTTTTATTTAGATACGAGGGAAAATACGTTAGTTTTAAAAACATTTTTTTTTATTCTAGAAAATCGCATTGACCAAATGGCCATTAGCGAAAAATTAATGGATTACATTAGGTACAATTACTGCATTATAATTTGGTTTATTAAATATTGTGGTACTTGTTATAGTCTGCACCTAGAGCTTCTAGAAGTGTTCCTGGTATCTTCTTGTTACTTCGTGGTTGATTGTAGAGGGGACATTCACATAGTATGTGCATTATTGTTAGTGTCGTATTACACGTTTCACATCACGACGCTAATCATGCGTTAATCTAGTATGTCCAAGTCTGAGACGCGATTATTTCTTGGCTTCTTGATATAGGCAACACATTCCATGTCTCTATGCTGGGTTTCACTTGTTTTAATTTTGAATTAGACACATTCCATTAATTTCTCCACGCACTTAAGATTGATTTTTTATATAAGCTTTTATATTCGTTGATACCGATGTGTTTACGATTTCGGAAACGTCACTCACTATCGCACTATGGTCAGCATTTCGTTGTTTTTATTCCTATATGAAATGGGATCCAGATCAAATTTATTTCATTATCATTGATATAAGCCTGAAGACGGACAGTTTTAATTTTTTTTAAAGCGGTTTTTTTAGATACAGTTGTCGGATGCTTTGTATGGCACTAAGTGAGTCTGTTAAGATAATATATTAGCAGTTTGTTATCAGATTGATTAGTTCTTTGGCACGATAGAGAGCATACAGTTCAGCTGTATAGATAGTACTAACATTAAATAGTTTGAATTTAAGGACCTTCTCTGGAGTTACTACAGACGCTCCCACACCTTGGGATGATTTTGAACCATCAGTGTATATCTGGGTATGATTTTTATAACGACGAAGGATTTTTCTAAAATGGGAAATAATTAAATCATGATTAGTGGAGTTTTTGTCAATTTAAAAACATTGATTCCTACTTGGATGGATATTTTTTTGATGCGAACAATAAAATAGAGATAAGAGTAATGTAACCATTATAATGGATAAAATACAATATCTGGGCAAAATTAAAGACCTAATTACAAAGGGACTTTTACCAAATTAACGAGGAATTCAACAAAGTCTTTGTAAGGCAAGATATAAAGACTTTTATTCAAGTTTAAAGAATATTTAACAGTTTATCAAAGAAAATTACTTACTGCAAATACTTACCACTTGTGGTTTGTGGATAGTATCACGAGATTCGTGTCCTGGTTTTTTCCCTATGATTCTAACAGGTATTCGTAAGTTAAAGTTGATTTTATGTAATCGAATGAACTATCTTTCAACAAAGTCGTTCCAGGAACGCAACTCAAAAATATTGAGAATATTTTAAAGTCATCTACTTTAAAATGTCTGAAATATATGATATATGTCTGAAATGTCAATATGAATTAATTTGTATTGTGAGAAATATTTCCAAAGAAAAAATCAAAACGTCGAAATAAACATATTTTAAAACTGAATATAGTAAATATTATAATGATCGTTAATAAAAGTCTGATCTAGAGACAGATATATGTTTCATTTCCAGTATGAATTAATTAATTTTTTTATGTTTACCATGGAGATCCTATATCGGTCAATGACTTTGTTGTTTTTTCTATCGTTAAGTTGTTTTCATTTCGGTTTCCACATTAATATATTCTGCGTGAATATATTGTTATAAACTAATATTGACCAGGTAATGGCCTATAAATACCTAGGTCATGAGATCCGCATAGGAAAAGATAACCAAACCGTTGAGCTTCTCCGTCGTATAAGACTGACTTGGGCAACCTTCGGCAAGCTGAACCATATTTTCAAATCGTCTGATATACCAATATGCCTTAAAAGAAAAACCTTTAATCAGTGTGTTTTGCTAGTGTTGACTTACGGTGCGAAAACGTTGACCATGACAAGGAGAACAGTTCAAAAGATCCGTGTGTGCCAAAGGGCGATGGAGCGTGCTATGTTGGGCGTTTCACAACGAGACAAGATCCCAAATCGCTAATTACGACAAAGAACAGGAGTGGCTGATGCAGTAGAGAGAGTAGCAACACTGAAATGGAACTGGGCAGGTCACGTGGCTCAAATAACAGATAATAGATGTACAAAACGGATACTGGAATGGAGACCAAGAGATGATGCCTACTGAAGCAGAGGTCGTCCACCAACACGTTGGACTAACGATCTAAAACGTTGTTATACCAATTGAATGCAAGAGGCATAAGATCGAAATAGATGGAAAATTATGAGGGAGATCTATGTTCAGCAGTGGATAAGAGAAGATTGAATGATGAAACTAATATTATTATCATAGGACTCCAATAACAAATTTTCACCAATAGAAGGTTCAGGGGAGGTTTGCGTGGAGATTAGCGTGGAGGGTTGGCGCGGTGGTTGGCGCAAATATTTCTGAGAGTAGGAATCTTTGTATTCTAATAAGACAGTGGTGCTTCCTTATAAAGTTGATAAAACTTGTTGTTGTATCAACTTCTGAAGATTCCGTTTTCTCTCACAGGTCCTAGTATTCTCCTCAGTAGAGGAGACTTGCAAAGAGAGCAAAATAAGCTCTGTTTGCCTGCGTTATTCTCTTCCGTATTTCTCCATCTTCTGATCCGTCGGCATGTATTTCTACTCCCAGGTATGTAAATTTTCCAACCGTTTCAATGTCATCTTCATGTATAATGTTTTGTGGGACTATATTTCTTTTCGTCTGTATCATTATTTTTGTTTTTTCTGTTTCAATTTCCAGACCTAGCCTTTTTGTTTGCGTGTTAAATTCTGCGTATGTTTCCTGTGCTTCTGTTGATGTTCTACTCATAATAAACCGCATACTAGAGTACCAGGTTAAACACAGTTGGGGCCAGCCCATCTTCCTGCTTTAGTCCCTACGAAATTTTGAAAAAGTTTGTCCGGTGGTTTTGTATTCGTACACATGCCTGAGTTTCATCCATTTTGGCTTTAATGAGTCTAATTAGCTTGCGTGGTATTACCAATTCAGCCAATATATTGTAGAGTTTATTACTTTTGACTGAGTCGTATGTCTGTTTGAAGTCTACAAACATGTTGTAAATATCAATGTTATGTTCCCATGTCGTCGGGTATTTTCGTCGTCGGGTATTTTCTCTTCTTGCCATATGTCTGATGAGTGATTGTTTGTGGTTCTCTCTGCTAAAGTCTATGGCATTTTGTGTATGTCTTTATGTGGGAAGCATTTGGAACTTATAACCATGTTTTTACTGGTGGCAAAATTTATCAAAAACTCTCCATTCTCGCTTGTTTCATTGTGCAGTGGGTGTTTTCCTTTTTGTGTCATAGAATTGCGGCTCCTTGCCTATTTTAGTATTCATATCACCCATTATAATTTTAATATCATTTTTGGGCGCATTGTCATATATCTCCAGCTGACACCTTTCCCCATCCATATTGTCTCCTGAAGGGCGGTTCTCTGAAAGAGATAAAATAACTATATTATATTATTTTTTTCAAGTATACAGTGCTTAGGTGATTATACCAACATCTTGTGCTGCGTAATGAAGGCACTGTGTTATGTAATTTTAAATGTTATTAGTATCTAAAGGGGCTTTCGATTAAAGGTATTTCAAATGCATTTTAAATTCTCATTAATACTGTTAGCACTAATTACTTAAATTCAAACCTCAAAGAGACTCCTTTAGCGGTAGTGGCTTAGCCGTTAATTACATTCTAAATGGAATTTTTGACCTCATTATTTTCTAGGGACTTTTACGCTGGCACCGGTAGACAAACAGTCTGAGAGATTTCCGTTTTCGTGGCCAAGGGAAAAACCAGAAGAGCTTTTACTGAATAATATTTTATTAAAGTTTTCTGTTTTTCCGTCTTTTAGTCGGATTTCTTTCCAGCTATAGCGTTGTAAATGTCTGAGAGAAATGTGATATATTTACATGATGAAATAAGAATATGAATAGTTGACAGCTACTATGTAGTTATATACATACCTATATAACTTTATAAAAGCATATTAAGTTTTTTCAATTATTTTCAGAGGATTGTCTAATTTGGTGTATTAAATATACTAAATATTATTATACAATACGTGATATCGAGTGTTACAGGGTTTAATCAGGATGTCTTATCGTATGTTTAAATGTACAAAGTTTGAGTGATGATTAAATCAATGATTTTTCATTTTATAATTTTCCCATCTTTGTCTGAAAAATGGAAACCTTCATACTCTATAATTCATTATTGTACAACCTATCGGTAAATTAGCCAACCAGGAACAATTACGATGCATGGATACATTTTTGAATTGTTTTAACTCGATCAAAACTTATTTTTTTTGTAACTTCTTGATTTCTCTTCTTTGTTTCAGAATAGTGCATCAAATCCATTCGTTTGTGAAAGGCTGCAGCAGTTTAGTGAACCTCTACAGAGATTTAATTCCTCAAATGGTAAGTCTAATTAACATAAAAATAATGGGTGATTTTTTTTATGGTGATCTGAAAAAAAATAATATGTGATCTAGATTATACATAAGAAAAACAGCAGTAAGATAGTAGCAACAGAGATAGAATGCCTGCGCAGATGCTGCGGAGCAACAAGAATGGATAGAGAAGTAATGACAAATAAATCAAGAAACATCAATAGAAACAGATATACTAACATATATAGAATAAAAAGACTACAGTGGTATGGACATGTAAGAAGAACTAGCGACAGCAGATGGATAAAGAGAATAACCGAATGGAGCCTCATAGGAAGGAGGAAAAGAGGACGACCCCGAAGATCCTGGAGGAACGAAGTAGACCATGCCATGAGTAAGAGAGGCCGAAACGATGGAAAATGGGACAACAGAGAGAGATGGAAACCGTTGAGCGAGGGAAGGCAGTGAATACTGTAGAATCCCTGTATATATATATATATATATTATATATATATATATATATATATATATATATATATATATATATATATATATGTATATATATATATATATACATATATATATATATATATATATATATATATATATATATATATATATAATATATATATATATAATAGGTGATCATAGCATGAGTACCGATGAGATGGAATAGAGAACGACGGAGTACCACCGCTTGCTAACTGTGCACCTATTTTCGTAAATGTCACGAAGACATTGACTAACAGGTGGTGCCCGTCATGCCTAATTGTACATACTTTGGATGCCTACATTAGCTAGTAGATGAAGCAAAATATTTTGCAAAACACTCCAAGTACACCAGACACTTAGCAGTGGTGCATTAAAAAATTGGAGGCCTACTAGTTGTCTGTGTATTACTCATATCCAAACATTTATTGAAATATGTACTGCGAACGAGATTTTCGAATCGCATGAGGATTTTCATCTCCCAAATGTGGAAGTTGCGTGGAAATTCGGCTTTGTCGATGAATAGAGTCTATACAATAAAAGATTATTAATCAGAAACGACCTAGCGAATTGTTACCGTGATATTTTATCTCCTAGATGCAATCGTTGGTCTTGTTGAATGTAATAAGGATGTAAATTATTATTTCTTGAACCAGACTTGTAAGCTTGTCCTTGTAAACTCGGATCTTAATTTAGGAAATGTTTCATTTTCTTTTCCAAACGTTTCCATTTTCTTTTCAACGTTTCATGTTTTTTCTGATCCAAATGTTTGATGATTTGGAACTCGAAGTTCTAGATATTATATTCTGTACTAGCAGCCCTACACTTTAATAGAATAGAAATATACTTTATTGTCACTGAAAATTGTACAATTTTATGGACGAAGCTTACAAAAATTCTAGCAATAACAATTAATGAGATTCAGATTGGACAGCTGTACTAGAACCCCAAAAAGGAAGGCCATATCGAAGATGAGACTCGGACAAAGAAAAATATGTTATTTTGGAAGATGCTAAATTGATTTTCTTCGAAACAGATCTTATTGCATAGCAACCTGAGGCTAGTTTCTTACTTAACAAATCGATATGAAGGGACCATTTGAGGTTGCTATCTACAAAAATACCAAGAAATTTTACAGAATCAACGATACTGATCTGCCTGTTATTAAGAAGCAAGGGTTGAAGAGCTCTTTTATAGAATAATGCTACTGTCTTATCCACATTAAAAGAGAGTAAATTAGAGTCGGATTAGCTTTTTATTTGAAGTAGATCAGAAGTTATAATTGCATGAAGACTTGCAATATTAGAGTTCCTCCAGGTAATACAGGTATCATCAGCAAAAAGAAAAATTTTCCATCGATTTTTAAGTTAGTAATGTTATTTATAAAGATAAGGAAAAGTAGAGGATCCAGTACTGAACCTTGTGGTACTCCACATACAATGATTTTGTGACTAGAGTCAGTATCATTTGCTCTAACTAATTGTTTCCTATTCCTCAAGTAAGATTGGAACCAATTCAAGAAAGACCTCGAATTCCGTAAAATTAGTGTTTGTAAATTGTACTTACTCAAGTTATTGATGTCATTTATAAAGATAATTAAAAGTAGAGGCCCCGTTAACAAATTATAGATTTTTTAAAGTAGTTTTACATGTAATTTGAAGATTTATGTGAGCATCCTGAAAATTTTTTTCAATACTACCCCATGTCAAAAAGTAGTTTTGGTGAATGAACTGCTGAATCTATAGTGCTCAGAATGTTATTAAGAAGCAAGGGTTCCTATTCCTCGTTGTCTGGCATTTTAAAAATATTTAAAAATCGCGACTAAACAATCTTAAGTGGATGCATGTCTATGTTTGTCCGTATGATTCATTGTGGTAGGGCGAGTATCGAATCACGGTAAAAATAAGACAGGTTGCGTTTTCTTAATCGCTGTGATTATTTACATATAAAGTACATATTATTTCAAACAATGTGTTCAATCTTTGCGGCTGGACAATCGCGCGACTACAAATCGCAAATGAATGGCTAGTCTTAAGGAGTGTGACCATATTCACGTAATCCACTATTGATTTAATGGGTAAATTTGGAATTAGGTTTTCTTTTGTCCATTTGGGGTAATTCGTGACATTTATTTGTAAGTGATAGTCGCTGGATTTACTACCAGACATGGACATTAAAAGAGCGTTTGGATTAAATCCCATTTCGCCATCATCATGCACTATGTACTATGTATTATTAAACGTTGACCCTTCGAAATGTTCATTAATAACCCTCTACTAGAACTATCAGTCCAAGTTTTCGACAAAGTATATCCATTGTGTACATACATGTCTCATTAACACGTTAACTGCCGGTCCATTCTGGGTAGGCTTTCACCAGGAGCCGCTTACTGTTTTTGATACAAAGACGTTTTATTTATTAGTTTCTGGAAAAGTCCGAATAAAGTAAGTATTTTTAAACTAAATGCACATATATACAAGAGGGGTTGGTGGTGAACCTATTTTTATTATATCTGATAATAGGCTCTGGTTTTATTACATGTTGACCTCTTCTTGTTGTAACTTCTTGTAAAGTGTTTTGACATTCTGTTGTTATATAGTAAAGTCTCTTTTATCCTTCCATTTGCCAACTAATACCCCTTTTCGGCAACGGGCAATTGTTGCACCTTTAGCAAGTTTTTCTTGCCTTACTTCTGCCGGATTATTTTTACGGACAATTCTAAAAGTTCCTGTGCAGTAAGTGGAAAATTCAAGTAAATTTTTAGCTAAAATCAAAGCTGTTAAAAAAATTGTCCATGTAAACGCAATGGCCTACATTTAGTTTCCCTTCTAAAAGGTGCAAAACCACTTTATTAACATGTCCTTTTCCACCTGAATCGTCAAACGTTCCAGAATAAACTAAAAATTTTTAAAATTAGACCATTTGGTTCGGTCAACATATACAACTTAATCCCATACTTATGTTTTTTGTTTTTTAAGTATTGTCTAAAATTAAGTCGTCCTCTGTGTAATACCATTGACTCATCTAAGCTCAAATTACGATCAGGATAATAAACTTCTTCCATTCTCTTATTGAAAAAGTTTATCATCGGTCTAATTTTATAAATTCTGTCTTCAGGTACTTGTTCTCCCTCTTCTGGATTATTACTAAAATGCAAACATCGCATTATGACCATAAATCTGTTCCGGCCCATAAAAGTGGAAAAAATTGCATTAGCAAAAAGAGGATCTTTCTTTTTCCAATAATCCTCAATCCTAGGCAACGAAATATGACCCATGTGTAGAACTAATCCTAAAAAGACTAGCAGTTCTTTGGAAGTCAAAATTTTCCAATCGAAAATCCTAGAATGTGTCGCCCCTGTATTAGATAAGAAAATGTGCTCGGCATACCTGTTTGTCTCATCACACACTTGCTGCAAACATTCATCTGTAAGTAGCATCCGAAAAAAGTCAACTGGATTATTATCGGAAACTTCTACTAGTAACTCCTGGTGTTTTAAAAAAGGAAAATTTTTCATACCATCAAAATTTTCTTTCCATTTATCGCTTTCATCAACATCAACGAGTAGATTAGGCTACAATTAAATAATTTGTTCTAGTAAATAGTTAATATTTGCATTTAATTTTGTAACATTACCGTATCTTCCGTATCCTCAATAAGTGCTGTAGGTAAAGTATTTTCAATTTCATCCTCAGATTCTGGTAAATATTCACTGTCTGAATCAAGAAAGTCACTAAATTCTTCATCGCTTGTTTCTAATAATCTCAAAAGTTCTTCCTCTGTTAATTTTTTTTTCATATCTAATTTTATTTTTTTATTTGAATTTGCGCCACTTTGTAAAATATCGTCAGTGTTATTCATTTTTGCACTTCAGTATGCTTACCCTATGCCATTCAAATATAAAAATAACCAAAGGAGATGCAAAAGAACTCAAATAACATTTAGGGGAAACACCGAAATTATCCGGGTATTACCAAGCTTTACGATTAGCGACTCTAGAAAATAGGGGAAATACCGAAATCTGGGAATGTTTAATTTTTACACGGTTAGTAATCCGATAAATTAATAAGCATTTGCAGAATTATATGTGCTATTACTGATATTTACACTTAATACAAAGCCAACAGATATACACATCCTATCGGACAAAAAGTCGTAAATCGAAAAACCAAGAACAAAATTAGAGAATTGATACCTCTAGTTACCTGCCTTTAAAATATAAAAAGCCCTGTTGTAGCGCCAGTGAAATAATCCAAGATAATAATCGATGAAAGTCTGAACGCGCGAGAACGTCGTCGGCGTCTAGCTAAAGTCATGTATCGACGCGCCAGCGCGTTATTGGCATTGAACGGTTAAGGTAAAAATGGGCCTATTTTCGTTTCTATAACGTTTAAATTTTCAAACGTTTAAACTTCATTTCGAGATAGCCCGAACACGATCTTATATTTCGTCTGATAATTATTATTACCTTTGATTCTAATTAAGGGTGATCGCAATATGTTATAGGCTTTTTTTATTCATAATCAAAGTAATTATTTA